ATATATATATATATATATATATATATATATATATATATAAATTATATGACCTAAGATAAGTTTTAAAAAAGTAATTAAATATTGATCAGATGTCAGTTGAAATAAATGGCACGCTAATTAGATAAACATAAATTAAAGTGAGTCATGCTTTATGGGCCTGCCCGGATCCTCTGCTGCTTTATTTAAGGGGCCAGGTTCTCTGATTGGGTAATTGGCAGCACCTGAACCACGCGTGGCCTCTTGTGGAGTTTTAAGGTTGGGGAAAAATTGTGTCGTGAGGAAAACAAACATTCCTTGTTTTATGATGCCTCTGGTAAAAGGCTCACCTCTGCTTCTGTTTGTTGCGTTGTTATTGATGGCGAGCTGCCTCAGCATTGAAGGTGGGTTAAGGAGCTTTAAATTGCTCTGTGATAAATGTGAAGCTCAGTGGGCCTTGTGGGCTTTTTCTATTTATTTCACACACGCACACTTGTAATTGTATGACCTGACTTTTGTCCACATTCTTTAGGTTGTGATGAAACTTCAGGAAACTGCTCCCAGGAAACTGGTTTCTTCTTTGGTAACTCCACAAATGTCACTAATTTTGCTTATGGAATAACTGCAAACATGGCTGCTGTGGTGCTGTATGGAAGCACCTTTGTTCCAGTCAAACGAATAGAGACAGGGGATGGTGAGCAGAAGGATACTATATGAACTCCCCCCACCCCTTACATTATGCCAAAAATGTTTCTAAAACCTGTTTTAATTTGCAGGCATGTTCTATCATTTTGTGAGCTGTGCATCTATATGGGTTGTATCTCTTCTCGGAGACCTCTTTATGCGAACACCGAAATTTCATCCTCTTGCGATGTTTGGAGGTGTTCTCTGGTCTACAGGTATTTTCTTTTGAAAGCACAATTTTGAGCAAATCAAATCTCCATTTTTCTCTGCTCTTGTGGTGCAGAAAATGGACTGAAGGCATCAAACAAATGTCCTGTTTACTGCAATCTATCTAATAATGGTGTACTGTGAGGAAAAATGGCCAGCTTTGAGTTAACTCAGTTTCCCACTAAATCACTGCAGGATTCATAATTTGTGCAATAACATGTGTATGGAAAACATTAAGCTTCTTTAGGCATGCTGTTTGAAGAGCTAAAGGCTTTTTTTTTTTTTTTTTTTTTTTCTTTTTTTTTTTCTGTCTGATTGGTAAGTGTTTTGTAAGACATTCTTTGATATGTATTTGTCGCCCACTGTATAAGCATGTGTAGATTTAATGTTTCCCTTTAGGTCAGAGTAGTCATTTGATTCAGAGCCACTTAATGTTTCATTAGCACCATCACTGGAGTGCTTGCAGTGATAAGTTATCTTGTAGCAGTACTTGATTTCATTTGTCTTTCACAGGAAGTGTAGCAGCTGTCACCATTGTTAAAGCAATTGGCCTTGGTCTTGGAATTTTAATATGGGGATCAGCTAGTCTGTTGATGGGCTGGGCCAGTTCAAGGTGAGTGGAGTGAATGCATGAACTGCTGGAAGGATAATCTTCTGCTTTTTGAATCAGGACTTTAAAATACTGCAACTGCTTAACAGATTTGGGTGGTTTGGGATTGATGCTCAGGATGTTTCCAGACCACTTCTGAATTACTGCGGTGCTGCTTTGTGTCTGCTTAGGCAAGTTAAACATTAGGCAGTCTTTGAAAGTTTTGCTTTTTTGTTTTTAATCTGTTGTCATTGTAAGGTGTTTGTTTTTTTGTGTGATCCTTCCGTTTAGTGGTCTGGTTTTTTTCTTTGTGAGAAGTGATGTAGAACTTCATCCAGAGTCAGAAACCGTCCCTTTACTAATTGACAGGGTAGGTTTTTTTTTTTTTTTTTTTTTTTTTTTTTGTGAAACTGCTTTTCAAAACCACTTTACTTATTCATTTCTTTTTCCCTCCAGAGATCCATTTCTGGCAGTTTTGTACAACAATCTTCTGCATACTGGATCGACAGAGTTGGACCAAAGGCGAGGCGAATCATGTGAGCTCAACACTGCCCCTTAGTTAGTTCATGGGTACCTTATGTTTGATTTAAAACAAATTTGTCAGTCCCTTAGGTGCTTAAAATGTGACTTCTGAGATGTCACCATGATTATCAATACTGCAAAACATCTTTACAAACTCTAGTAAATCTCTAAAACTTAAAGTATTCCTCTAAAATGTTTGTAGACTTATTTTGAAGTCAAGCTCTACCCCTACTGTTAATGCATGTCTAATTAGAAAAGTGGTTATCAAGATTGATTAGACTTGGAAGTGAAACTGACGTACTAATTAAGCAATGCAACAGAGCAAACATTTTTCAAGTTATGGTACCTATATGGTATTGTTGGTAAATGTTTCGTATTTACTTTCCTAAATTGTGAATAGGCATAGCTCCCTTTCAACTGCTGCTCTGTTTCTAGGCTTTGTGGAAAAATGTTAAAATTAACATACAAATTGAGCAATGTCTCTAAGGAGATTAAAAAAGCATCTTTCATTAAGTTCTTCACTCTATCTTGTATCCCTTTCATCAGTGGTTGCCTGCTTGCTGTTATGACTGGTTTGCTGTTTGGCTCTTCATTTGTACCTGTTCTCTACATAAAGAACCATTCAGTGTGCCCGGACAGCATTTTCTATGGAGCCACTGTCAATGGTAGGCTATCAGTCTCTCAGGCTTTTCATTTAGAACTTAATACTTGATGTACCAATTCATTCAAAATGTAAAAGAATGGTTTTAGTTGTAATTTCTGCAATCAAGAATTGCATCCATTCTAACGGGGGTCATCATCTTGCAGACCTGGATTATGTACATGCACAGACCTCTGGTGTTTTCCTTGCAAGTGCGGTGTACTTTACCATTTACTGTGCAGTGATGAAAAACAAGCCCAGGGTTTACCCCAGAGCCATCCTACCAGGTAGCGCATTTAAGAAATTCTCAGTATGCCTATGTTTGAAGTGTGGGGGTGGGTGAGTTGTGGTGTGGGTTTTGGGTATAGAGTCTGCTGCAATTAAATGACAGTGTCAAGATTTGGGCTCTTGCTTCCCACCAGCCTATCTATTTCTGAGGAAGGAAGTATGGGCCCTTAAGGCCAGTAAATCTAATAATGGCTCCAGTTTGACCCCAAGGCAGAGTTGGCTGTTCGACAAATGTCATGCAACAGCTTCCTGTTATTGGCATCTGGTCATGCAAGGGTTTGGAATTGCATAGAGATCTGACTAATTTACTAAGCTAGTTTTATGTAGATGTATGTGCATGTGATATTTATACACTTTTTGCCTTTTTATAAAAAAGTCTGTCAGGGTTGGGTTTTTTTTTTCCCCTCCCAAATTTTCTCTCCTGTGCTTCAGGGTTTCTCTCTGGGTTGATGTGGACGGTTGGTACGTACTGCTGGTTCCTGGCTAACCGCTACTTGACAGCTGTTGTCACCTTTCCAATTGTTACTGCAGTAAGTACATTGTCCTGTGAAATGTTTAAACTACAAAGTACAGTTGGAATACACTTTGCCATTAAACATTTCTGGTTTGGGGATAATTTAAAAGTTAAGCTTGAATCAGATGGTTGACCTCAGAGCCAAATATTATATTTAAATGTCATCCAAACCAACAAACGGTTTGCCTCCTTTGGCAGCTGTCTTGCAGCTTCAATCTAAAGAGATCTTTATGTGCTTTAATCTTAAGAGGCCTGGTTTCCTTGGCTATAATACAATGGGGACCAAGAGAGCTCAGAGCACACCTTCCTGTACATTTTAGTACTACTGTAGTAAAATATACAGATGTTAAAAATGGAACTAACATTTGGGTATTTTCTCTAAATGACATTGTACGCATTTAAGGGATAGAGGTGGGTACAGTGATTGCTATTTCAACTTACTATTAGGTGTGGCAGTTGCAAGGTTAACTCTGTTTGTTTTGCTTTTTCTAAAGGGCTATGGTCTGGTTGCAGCACTGTGGGGGTCCTTGGTTTTCAGAGAGATTAAGGTAAGGTTTTAAACACTTGAAGAAATTGATTTGATTAATTTACACATGATAGTTTGGTCATGAGAAAATTCCTTGTTTTCTGCAGGGTTTGGTTAATGGCATAATCTTCTTCTTTGCATCTTGTGTTGTGCTGGCTGGCTCTATGCTGACTGCCATTTCAAAGCTCTGAAAGTAAAGCAATCTCCTGTTAATGAAGTCTGACATTTCCTTAGATTAGAATTTGTATTTTAAAATAAAAGACCTCCTCAACTTTTAATTAAAAGAAGCTAAATTTAGCTTACTAAGTAATTAAAAATAGACATTTGTAATATTGATTTTAGTCACCTGTTAATCCACTAGTAAAACACAGAATAGACTGTTAACCCATTAAAGGGCTGTTGTACTATAATAATGCACATCTATTTAAATTATGGTGGAGGTTTTTGCATAAGTTCTTGAATTGTCATTTTGTAATGTCTATTAAAATTTAAATGAATTGTACAATTGATGTGCCTGTCTTTTTGTCACTGTTAGTTTACAGCAGGGTTCTCCAACCCTGGTCAACAGCTGCTGTCCTACAGATGTTTTCATTCCTGCTCAAACACAGCTATTTGAAATCACTGCTAAACTTTATTGCATGCTTAAGTAGTTATTCAAAGGCCTGTTAATTAGACAGTCATTTGAATCACCTGTTGGAGCGGGGATGCATCTAAAATGCACAGAACAGATCTGCCAACATGAGGTTGGAGACCCCTACTTTACAGTAATGTGTTCAGTCGCTTCGTGTGTGATTTGTTTACTGGTTTAGCCACCTTGTAAATTAACTTCGTACAAGAACATGGATATAAATAACTCACTGGCTTTGAATTTGGTGTGACATGAGGCAAGTCTATCTTTTAATTTTAAAGTATTTTCTAAGTGTGAGGGAAAATATCACATTGGTCATAATTACTTTATAAAACATGGTCACCATTTTTATTTCTTTAATATATAAAATGGTTCAACATGGTATCTGTATTTACATTAATGTATACAGACATTTGGGCAATATCCAAGCAGGTTTGAGAATAGTGTTTGAAGATGCTGGTTGACCACTGTGTACTTAACAGGGATGCCGCCAGGATTTTTTTTTATATATATGCAGCCACTGAGAATTCATTTTTCATGTATGCATGTAATGAAAAAGCGGTAGTAGCACCCTAGTGGCATAGAGCTTGGAAGACTTAGGACGTTGAGTCCGAAACCCACTGCCACTCTGGCTCTGAGCAAGACCCTTAATCCCAATTGCTCCTGGGCAGTCCACTGCTCCCCAAGGGGATGGTTTAAATGCAGAGAATTTCTGCAATGTAAGATTAATAAAATTAAAGGCAATGTATTTTTAGTCAGCCTGCTCATGAGATTATCAAGATTTATAGCTAATTCAATCTAAATATAAAAATCTAACTGAAGTATCGACAGTGATTTCTAATACAGGCTGCTGGAGGCTACCCATTGTTTTCCTTCAACTGTCCAGGATCCAGTACACAAAACTGCAGGCTATTTCATTTTGTAGTGATCATTATGTAGAAGTGTTATGATTTTTGTACATAAAGGTTTTAAGAAGTGGTAAGAGGACAAAATCCCACAGACTCTAGTGATGCAAACTGGCCTGTCCCTGGACACAGTGGTTCACACCCTCTTCACTGGGGCATGGATGGGGTGGGGATTGAAGACATGGGACTTCCGCTGGATCTGGCTCACTTTTTTTTTTCTTTTTTTTTTTTTTTTTTTTTTTTTTGCCGGCCTAGCGGTTGGGGCATTGCATTTGGAATCTTGAGGTTCTGAATTTAAACACCATTCCTGCAGACTTCCACTCTGTCTCTGAGCAAAACCCTTAACCCCACGCTGCTCCCCGATTGCTGCAAAATGGCAGCCCATTGCTCCCCCAAGTGAATGGGTTGAGTTAATTTCTCCAATGCAAGATCAATAAAGTTCAGTTCTAACAAACTAAAATGCCCCTATGGGAACTTGGACTATAGTTCCTTGAACTAAGGAAAGTCATGTCAGGGGTATCCAAAAGCAATGTTTCCCAACCTACATGTACCCTTATTGGTCCGTGAGTGCATTGCATAGGGTATGTGAAAATATTTTATATCTTGGGCAGTAACTTAAAATAGGCCTCTGATTTGTGAGGACCCAATTGACAAATTAAACAAGCTTTGACACGCATCCAAACCAAGCAGGGGAACAGACTGATATCAGCTGTATTTTACACTGATCTTTCAGAGCTCATCAAAGCAGCTCAGGTGTCTTGATGAAAACAAAGGAAAACTAATTTAGTCAGACTGACTCTATTTGTTCTGTAGTTCCTAATTCATTCATCACATTAAATATGATAATACAGGAGATCCCGGGAGTTAGGAGGAGCTCCCAGTTTAATAACTACAGGTTAATATTAGGATTTCATTTTGTATTTTGATTCCTTACTAGATTACAGGAAATGTATTTTTTTATTTGAGATCAAAAGCATAAAATTATAAAAAGTTAAAAGATTTAAGTATAGTTTGAGTTATCGTGCATTCTCCTTTTGGACAACAATCAATACTTTTGACTGAGAGGGGTATCTGTGTTGAGACAAAATGCCCAAATGGGTGCACAAGTCAAAGTTGGGAATCACTGTCCTAAAGAATGCAAGACCTTTAATGTCGTCAGGACAAAAACATTTGTCTGTCTCTGAAAATGTTTAACATTCTGATTAGCAAAAATGAGACTTGGCAGCAAGAAGAAGGGAATCTGTAACCACCTGCAGAATGACTGTTCTGCTCTTCAGCAAGTCTTAACGGCTAGTTAATCAAACAGGTGAAGAAAAAGATGTTGCTTTACCATTAAGGAAGGTATTTTAATAAAAAGATTCATGCTAAAATAATTCCAAGGCACAGTTATACTGCAGCGGTATATTAAAACGGTGCCAAACTTGTATTAGCTATTTTGAAATTCATTTTGGGTTATACAAGGAACAGATCACCCTGGTTGTCAGATATGTGTAAAGTCCATGGGCTTATGAAAAGTTGAAGCGGGATTCCTTAAAATGGCAGCAGTAGACTGTTTTTTTGGCCTTTTTAAAGCATTAAAGTAAAGCAGTTATGAGTGTTTAGGCACATCAGATTCGACAAAAGTTAAGTTCAATAAAAGATTGTAAATAATCCTCATAAACCTGATGCAGTCCATAAGGCTACGAATTCCCACACTTATTCTATGGTGCTTTTTAATGAGCACATCAACCAATATGACATACTGCAAAATCTTTTATTGCATGTGTGTGCTGCATAGCTCCAGACCTTGTCTGCCAAATTAATGTATTACCATTAGAGTTGCAAGCAGCAAGTTGCCAATCTTTATTCTGAACTTTCTATTTTCTGTTCCAGATGTTACATAAATAGTAGCTAGATCTCACATAGGGCTCAATAACTGTTCTGTATTTTGACAAAATGACAAACTCAAAGTCAGTGTCCACTGTATACAGACATGCCAGCTGCAGATGTAGTGACCAGTAGTTCTGTCATAGGGAATAAAAATGTAATTTGTGATTGCAGAGTTGCATAA